TCCGCTGCAGGACCTGTACAGGCAGGGTTGCCTTTGAACGCATCCCTCACACACATGTGCTCAAGAGGGGCTCACAAGCAAGTTTTCAAACATCTGACATTTTTTATTTATTTCCCAATTTGTAATAATTTCAAACCCACATTGAGCGCTATTAACAGAGCTCCCATCTACTGAGAAAACAAGAGTTTTGGAGGTAAAATGTAAGCCTGATTTAACCAGTAAAATGATGTCTTTTCTCCCAGGCTTTACCCAAAAGCTTTGCTCTCTGGAGGTGTTCCCTGTCCTTCACCAGGCACAGGCCCATCCCTGTCTCTGTCTCTCCCAGCAGCTGGTAGCACTGCTCTCAGAAGGAGCAGGCAGAGCAGTGCTGTGGCTTAGGAGAGCCCTGGACATCAGAGAGACCTTGGCTCTCCTCTTCCTTACGTGCCGGCCCCAAGGGAGCACAACACGGGAGCGATGCGGTGCGAGGACTGAGACGGCCCGTGAGCTGAGAGATCCCCACGCTCGCAGCTTTCTCGCTTTGCTCAGGGTTAGCACTCCAGGGCTGGGAACTCTGTCGTCCTCTGGCATGAGAAAAGAGGTTTAGGGAAAAGTAATCCATACAAACCACAGCAAGGGCATGAAGGGCACAGACAGTGAGCCTCACCACAGAGTGACGGGTGAACGCCGTGCTGCTCAGTGAAGGAGAACGTGGGCATCAGTTTCTTTTTGGTGCTTGGGCAAAGGAAGACAATGATGTGCACTCCTTTCTTCCCCTACAGCTTGAGCTCCAGAAAGGCAGGACTCTCACACCCAGTAGCACTCTGCAAGTCCCACTATGATTTGAAGCAAAAGTTTTTGGGGAATGCCTGCCGAGGCAGCAAGGGAGTTTGCCTCCATGGAGAGGTGGACAAACACCGGCAGAGCAGTGTCCAAGCAGCCCGCTGGGGACGCCCTCCCTACCCACACATCGTCCTGGCAGGTCCCGCACAGCCGTGCCACACAGCCTGGCAGCATGTCCTCCCTCCATGAGCCTCGCTGAGGTCCGGGGACGCCTCCGCGTCCGGCACAGCAGTCTCAGTGCCCAGGTTGGTGGGAAGCAGGTCAGGCCCTCCGATCTGCTCTGACACTGACCCGGCAGAGATGGAGTGTGGCCCAAGGCAGCGTGTCTGCACTTGAGTTCATTCCTCCTTGGGATGCCTAGAAACTCTTCTCCTGTATATCATCTTCTAAGTGGAAGCTTCAGCAGACTGAGAAGAAGCAGCTGCAGTAAGCAAGTAATGAAACTGCATGTCCGAAGTGCTTTGCTTCCCTTCACTTTTTGTTCACCAAGTGACGGTATCCAATAATTGTTTAAATGAACATGTCACTGATTAGCTAGCTTCTGAACCTTGGAGCAGTATCTTCTGATTATCTATGATTTCACAACTTCCAGATGAGAAAGATTCTCAGGAATGCTGAAGGTAAGAGATCAGCTTCATTTGCACAAGTCACAGAATTAGGAACAAGGATTGCACAGGGAGGATCCAACCAAGACATGATTCCTAATTCTGGCTGCTGGTGTGTCTGTAAGACTTTTCTGCCACTGGATCTCAAGCTCCTGCAGTACTTCTGTGGAAATACTTCATTAATTAACGCAGACATATACTAAACAATTCATCAACAGCTTTTGCAGAAAGGCTCGCTCCTAGTATCTCTCATGTGTGACCTCAGAAAATACTCACAGAGGACTGTGCTGCAGCCCAGGCACTAATTGTGCCTGTAATTAGTGTCTGCTTTTTTCTTTAATCCCATGGGCACAGCTTGCCATAGAGACCTCGGAAATCTTCAATTAGTTGTATCGTTCTCCAGTTCCCCGTGGTTTCTGAATTAGCTGAAAGGGTGCTGTCATTTTTCAGAGGTTTTGTGGAGCCATGGCACTTGTCATACTGAACCAAAGCATTCCACCTCCCGAGGAGGCTCACCTCCACCTTGTTTTGTTCATTTAAAATGTTTTTAAACAATGTCATTAGATCCAGAGGTCATTTACCTGCAGCATGTGAATTTTCCCACTGTCTAAAGAATTTTCAAAAGAAGCTATCTCTTTGCAAACCTAATGTCCTGTTGCCCACAACCCACTGTGCTGGGCTCCCAAAGGCTCTGGAAAACATGCAGTGCTCTTTCAAGCTCATTGCTGCAGCTCTGGAGCTGCTCAGCCACACAATGCTCTACAGGCGAGGGGAGACATCAGCAGGGGGGAGCTGCTCATGGAGTCCCCATCTTGCTGCTCAACCCCTCAGATCCACGACTCCAACCCTGTCCCATGTGGCCATCCCAGAAGGACAAAGCAGCTTCACATAGTGTTACAGAAACAGTAGGAGGTGGCAGAACTCCACGGCGAGCCCCAAGGGGCAGGACATCACCCCAAAACTGCGTTTGGCCTGGAGGCCTGGGGTAAGGTGCCAGCTCCCGCACAGCCCTGCAGGAACCTCCCTGAGCCCCAGCAGGGAGCAGGGACCATTGCCGGCAGGGCTGGGGACAGCCCGGGCAGGGGGCGGCAGGGCTGGGGACCAGCAATGGGTCCATCCCACTGGGCCACATGTCCCATGTGGCCATCCCAGAAGGACAAAGCAGCTTCACATAGTGTTACAGAAACAGTAGGAGGTGGCAGAACTCCACGGCGAGCCCCAAGGGGCAGGACATCACCCCAAAACTGCGTTTGGCCTGGAGGCCTGGGGTAAGGTGCCAGCTCCCGCACAGCCCTGCAGGAACCTCCCTGAGCCCCAGCAGGGAGCAGGGACCATTGCCGGCAGGGCTGGGGACCAGCAATGGGTCCATCCCACTGGGCCACAGGCCAGGCAGCTGCCCCCATGGCAACAAACCTCAGAGGGGGGAACAGAAAGGGCACAAACCCTGCTGTGAGATTGTCAGTGGTCTCCCTTACTGCTCGCCCGGTTTTGGCAAGAACGGTTGTCAGGTTTTCCTTAAACTAAGTGATCTCCGGCCTTGCAGAAGCAGGGCTCCCGAGGTCAAAGGTTAACGGCCCTGGAAATGATCCCAGCCGGGAAGGGGACTGGCGTAAAGGCCGCTCCGCCCCCGCCGGCTCCAATTCCCAAGAAAACATCGTGAAATTAACAACCGGGGCAGCGAGGGCCGAGACAGACGGCGTCCCGAGGGGCGGCTTCTGCCGC